CCTTGAGACTGACCCACAAACTCCAGCGGGTGCAGAATGCCGCAGCGAGACTCCTTACGGGGTCCTCACCATGGGATCACATTCATTTGGTGCTTGACCAGTTGCACTGGCTCCCGGTGGAGTACAGGATCAGGTCCAAGGTGCTGGTTTTAACCTTTAAAGCCCTATATGGCCTAGGACCCTCGTACCTACGGGTCCACCTCTCCTGGTATGTCCCACAGAGGACCTCATGGTCTTCAAATAAAAACGTCTTGGAGGTCCCGAGCCACAGGGAGGTTAGGCTGGCCTCAACCAGAGCCAGGGCTTTTTCGGCCATGGCCCCAATCTGGTGGAATGCTCTGTCCCAAGAGACTAGGGCCCTGCGGGACTTGACATCTTTCCGCAGGGCCTGCAAGACGGAGCTGTTCCACCAGGCCTTTGGCCAGGGCACAGTCTGACCCCCTCCTTTGGTAATCCTCACAGAACTGTAGCCCAATGGTTGCCATGAATTTGATTTTGAATTGAATTTAAAATGAATTGATTTTAGAATGCTGTGTTACTTTCATTGTTGTTAGCTGCTCTGAGCCCGGCTTCGGCTGGGGAAGGCGGGATATAAATAAAATTTTATTATTATTTTTATTTTGTATTATTATTATCGCTTCTGCGTCCAAGTCTCAGCCATTTAACCCATTTCTCCCATTGTGTGCTTGTTCTCCCCTTGACCTCCAGCCCGCCGCTGAGCGCCAAAACATTGTGGCACCTCCATCGCGTGTCTCCGGAGAACCTGCGGACATACCAGACTTTCCCCTCGGGGAAGAGGGTGACCTCGCAAGAGAGAGAAGTCCGAGACAGCTATTTCGAATACAGGGCCTGAGCAGAGACCGCCACGTCGCCATTGTTAGCCTTCTTGGGGACGGACGTCAGAGCCGGGCAACGAGAGATCATAAGAGCTGGGTTTTCTCTTCCTGTCCTGCCATATCATGTTGCCCCGGGAATCCCTGGGGGAAGTTACATCCCATAAAAAATGAACTTCTAGGGCAGAGCCCAGTGATTAAATTCCCCCACCCGCCATCCCTCAGACACACTATGCTAGCCTGAATTTTTGTTCGCTCTGCTGTGTTGTTTGCATTGCACACAATCCCAGACACGGCAAATAGTTGAACGGCGGGATTTACTACCAGAAGTTGCCAGACCCTCCAGGTGCCCCTGTTTTCCAGGGACAGCCCTGGAATTACAGAAGCTGTCCCGGTTTCTGATTTGAACCCGGAAAGCCTCGCTTTTGCTTAAAAGGTAAAGGGACCCCTGACCAGGTCTAGTCATGACCGACTCTGGGGTTGCGACGCTCATCTCGCTTTATTGGCCGAGGGAGCCGGCGTACAGCTTCTGGGTCATGGCCAGCATGACTAAGCCGCTTCTGGCAAACCAGAGGAGAGCACGGAAACGCCGTTTACCTTCCCGCCGGAGTGGTACTTATTGATCTACTTGCACTTTGACGTGCTTTTGAACTGCTAGGTTGGCAGGAGCAGGGACCGACCAATGGGAGCTCACCCTGTCGCGGGGATTCGAACCGCTGACCTTCTGATCAGCAAGTCCTAGGCTCTGTGGTTTAACCCACAGCGCCACCTGCGTCACTTTTGCTTAGGACGTCCCTATTTTCATCATAGAAAAATGTTGGAGGGTCTGAGATGCGACCACGGACCATGGATGCCATTAAAAGGGAATTAGACCGATTCCTGGAGGAATTGGCTAGAGGCTTTCGGTGGCCTCTGGTCACAAGGGCTAGATGAAGATCAGTTTCTGGGAAACTAAAGCGAGAGTGCACTCCTGTGAGCATGTCTTGTGTGTGGCAACCAGAGGCGTTTGCTCAGCCACCGTGGGGAAGAGGATGCTGGCCCAGACGGGCCTTTGGTCTGATCCAGCTGCAAGGCTCGTCTGATCTTAGTATGGTAGAGTTGGAAGGGACCCCCAAAGGTCCTCTAGTCTGAGAGTCCTCCGGGAAAACAATCTCTCAAAGGACCTGCTGATGGCATTTTACCATTGTACTGTTGAGAGTGTATTAACTTATGGTCTGTGTGTGTGGTTTGGGAGCTGCACGGCCAGGGAAAAAACAATGCTGTCCAGGGTTGTAAAGACTGCGGAGAGAATAATTGGGTGCACTCTTCCCACCTTGGATCAAATCTACGCTTCCAGGTGCCATAAGAAAGCTGCAGAGATAGCGCAGGATAGTGCGCACCCCGGAAATGATCTCTTTTAGCTTCTGCCTTCTGGAAGAAGGTCCAGGGTTATAAAGACTAGGACTAGCCGCCTGAGAAACAGTTTCTATCCAAATGCGATTTTGGTTTTAAAAGCAGTGTAAGGAGTCTCTATGGGAGTATATTGTATTTAAAAATGGGGTATCAGAGGTTTTAGGGGGTTAACCAGGTTGGGATAGCTGGGATAGCAGGCTTGTTGAGTTTTGAATGTCTGATGTAGATTTTTCAGTTTCGTTGTTCTGTATGGGACAATGACGATAAATATATTGTATCGTATCATATGAATGGATCAGCGCAAGTCAATTGTGAGTGTACTGTACTACCCCAAAAAAGTCTCAAAGCAATTTGCAGTATATATACAATGCCATTGAATATGACTAAAACAGTACAGCCGTACCTTGGTTTTTGAATTTAATCCAAGCCGCGTCGGACACTTGGCTTCCAAAAAATGTTTGCAAATTGGAACACTCACTTCCGGGTTTGCAACGTTCGGGAGCCGATTTGTTCGACAGCTTAGGCATTCAACTACCAAGGTGCGACTGTACGTAATATTCCCCAGAACAGAGTGTAAGGTAGTCTCTGTGGGAGTATATTGTATTTAATTATGGGGTATCAGAGTTTTTAGGGGGCTAACCAGGCTGGGATAGCAGGCTTGTTGGGTTCTGAATGTCTGATGTAGACTTTTTCAGTTTCATTGTTTTGTATGGGACAATGACAGTAAAGATTACCGTATCGCAGTCCAACCCCTTGCGATGCAGGAAGCACAGCTAAAGAATCCCCAACAGATGGCCACCCAACCTCTGTTGAAAAACCTCCATCGAAGGACTGTCCGCTCCCGAGGGTGTCCGTTCCTCTTATGCACCAATCAGCAAAACACCACCCCATCTCCACTTTCCAGAGTGGGCACTATCAAGTCCAGACAAGATCCTGGCGGGCAGAGGCACTGAGCTTGCAAAGATTTAGCGGAGTTGCTTGCCTGAAACCCTGCGCACTCTGAATCCTCATGGAGATAATCTTGTGCGAATGGCTGAACTGCTGGGTTAATGAGATCACCAGTTGATAATAACTTAATGGTAGGCATTCCATCTGCTGGAAAAGTTACTGTAAGAGAGGGTTCATCCACACTTCCTTTTGGCCTTGCACTTTGAGTTTTCTGCAAAAGGCTGTTTGCTCCATTCGGCGGGAAAGTCCTGGGGGAAATCCCCAGGGCCAAAAAAAATTAAGCGTTTGGACACAATGCTTTAAAGCGCAGACCCATGGCTAGAATTGTTGCACAAAAGGAAGTCTGGGTGAGGCCTTTCCTAGATATTGCAGCAAACATGATTCTGTGCAGCCCAAAGAACCAAGATGGCGGGGGAATGAGATGGGGCCAATCTTACTATAGGGTTAGGGTTACTATAGGGTTAGGGTTCCAGTTCCTTGCTGGAAAAACCAGCTAATAAGCTGAGAGTCTTTGGGAGCTAAAGGAAAAAGGGTTATTTCATACTTGTTCGGCCTGACTTTATTTCTTTTGTAAGTAAAGAAGAACAAGGACTTCACTCGGCCCATAAACAAATATGGCTGATACAGCGAATCAGAGCACTGGAATATGTTAATTCCTTTCCCTTGGTATAATAGGGTCCATGTTTTGTCACCTTGTCTTGTTTAACCATTAGGTCTATGCAAAAATAGCTCCTGTCGCTACCTTCCTCGCATTCACATGCCTGTGGTTTATTTATTTGGGTTTCGTTATATGTCTGCGTTTCTTCGACAGTGATCTGTAATTGTACATGTATATTGCCATCAGATCCCTTTTGGGAACACTGTATTTTGCAGAATTTTGAAAAAAAAAGTAATAAAAATCATTTAAAAGGGAAACAGAACTGGAATAGGGGTTGGGGAGCATAACCAGGAAGGCTTGATCTGCAAAACAGATTTCGCTGTGCAGAGAATTAAGGGTGCAAATGGGTGTGGAAGAATCCCCACCCTCTGGGATTTCACAAGAAAAATCGCCGCCCTGCCCTGCCTCGCATTTTGCCAGAACCAAGGTGGCAACCTTACCATTCCCCCCTCCCTTTTGTAAGCAGGAGCCAGTGCATTTGGCACCCCCTTCCCCAGTGGCTCACTCTGAACTGAAAACGCAACCGCTCTCCAAAACTGCCATGGGGAGGAAAAGATGGAGATATGAGAAACTGTGGGATGTGAAACACAAGAGCGGTCAATTACAACATTCCTAGGGTGAACATGTTCACACATGGGGAGGAATGTTTGTCCAGCCAGCAGGTAAACTTCCTGTTTCCTTCTGGGCTGGGACAGACTTCCTCTGCATGCGACTAGAGGTGGGTGTGGCCTCACCTGTGCAGGTAACGACAAAAGCACAGGGCAGGGCAGCCATCTCTCTCTGTGTGTGACTACTTTCATCGAAGAAGCAAGATCTGCTTAGCCAAAGATGTTCTCAGCCAAGAGAGGACAAAGGGACTGTCTCCTTATGAGATAGTTTCCAGGTGTATGTTACTTTTCTAAGCTAAGTCTGCCTTCTGGGATCCGATTGTGAACAGAATGCAAATAAACTCTTTATACTTTTATAGAAGACTGTGTCGTGTCTTATCTTTTATAAAGGAATAAGGGGGAAATACCAGAACAGTTGTTATAGAGGCTTTAGCGAGCCTGAGCAAATGCATCTGCTGTGAGTTTAAAAAGGGGAATGTTACTCTGCTAAATTGTGAACTTAACACAAGTTGGAAAGGCTGCATCCCTGAACATTCCCACAGAAACTCCATGCTCTTTGCCTTTCCTCAACAGTCTAATTTTATTCTCCTGCAAAATATACAGGCAGGTATGCTGCCTGGGTTCCTTCCCTACAAAAATATCTGTGATGGAAGCGTCCCTCTGGAAGAGTTGCTTTTATGCGTCTTGGCTTGTGTGACGTCTGGATATCGTGTGCCGCCATCTTGCCGCCCCTTCCTCAGAAGTAGAGCCTAAAAGAGCTGTGGGGGAAGGGTGTGCAATAAATCTATTATATCCTTATAATAGGCAAGGAATAGTGGGGATGAGCATAATAGCTCTGTCCCCTGGCAATTGTCACCGCCACCCTCAAGCCAGAAGGTGACTGTCATGGAAACCTTGCCCTACTCAGTTTTTAAAAGTTTGGGGTGGGAACTAAGGTACGGGAGAGGGATTTCGGAGCTGGGCCCATGACGATGAGGGTTGGGTGGCTCAAGTGAGTTTTTGACAGGGCTCTTACTGTAGGAAGTCTGGAGACTTGGTCATGGCATGTTCAAACTCCACCAGGGAGAGCATCTTGTCATTATCCAAGTCGGCCTCCTCCAGGACCTGCATGGAACGGAAATGTCTGCCTTGAAGACCACTCGTCCCTTCCTGACACAGATGTCCCGACCAACGGGAATGCCCTGTGTGAGAGACCTACACCCCAAACCATCTGGCTCTGAACATGAGATCAGCATCTCCTGTTTGCTAGCCAAAGGATGGAGCAAGCCAGCTGTCCCCAACCTAGTGCCCTCCAATTTTTAAAAAAATGTAAGATCTCAGAGCCTGGATGAGTTCATATATAGCCTCACAGTCTTGAGATTGGAACATCCCTCCCAACACTGCCCTCAAAGCACATGGAAATCATGCGCCGAGGACCACGCCTAAAGTTCTTCCAGTTGGCCTCCTTCATCTTGTTCTGCGCCTCTATCTTCTTAATCAGCAACTCAAGGACCACCTGCATCTTCTTGGTCAGAAATGGACTACAACTCCAACAGCCCCTGGGGCCATGGTGGTGGTGCAGTGGTGGCTGGCGCTGGTGGGGGAGAAGACAGGGAGCCCAGCTGACTCAGGCTGATGGGAGTTGTGGTGCCAAACATCTGGAGGAAGGTTGAAACAAGCTTGTTCTGCTCTAGCACTGTGCTAGGAACTGGTGTCCTCCATCCCCCCTTGGCCTGCTTTGGCCATTGCGGGACATCCCAGCATGGCCAACGTCTCAAGGTCCCTGGAGATCTCATAAAAGGAAGGGCATGCTGGGAAGTGGGGAGAGACGCACGTGGTTGGCCAGAGACGCGATCTCTTCCTCGCTGAGGTTGTTCCTGTTGATCGATCTGCGGATGACATTCTGGAGGTCTTCCTCGTCAACAAAGCCATCGTCGTTGAAATCTGGTCAAGGGAAGCGTTGCAAAATGTGCGGGTGGAATGGGTCACAGCATAAGAACATCGGAAGAGGCTGCTGGATAAGGCCAATGGCCCACCTAGTCCAGCATCCTGTTCTCATAGTGGCCGACCAGATGCTCGTTATGGGAAACCCACAAGCAGGATTTGCACCCAAAGCAGTGGCGTAGCGTGGGTTGTCAGCACCCGGGGCAAGGCAAGTAATTTGTGCCCCCTAACCCGTGGATATGCGCCCCCTAACCTGTGGATTTGCCCTAACCCCAGATGTTGCGCCCGGTGCGGCCGGCCCCCCCTGCACCCCCCACGCTACGCCACTGACCCAAAGCCAGCCATCTCCCCTCCTGTGGTTTCCAGCAACTGGGGTTCAGAAGCATTGCTACCTCTGGCTGTGCGGGCAAAACAGGTGCCCATTAGGGCAGGGCAATACCTGGTTTTCAACATTGTGATGTATCACCTGTAGGAATAATAGAGACGATGGGAGTTTGGATGCAGGTGAGCTGTGCAGAAGCACGCTAGCAAGCATGCTCCAAGCAAGCTGCCGACTAGCTCTGCCAACGCTCCTTTTATTAGCAGAAGTCAACAACTGGAAATAGTAGTGAAACCACCCTGAACTTAATGTATTTCCATCTACGCAGATTTCCAGCATTAGCAAATACACGTCTCAGCAGGTGTTTCCCTCAGATGTTCCCCCAAGCATTATCTAGCCAAGAAGGTCAGGAAAAGCAGGCATACTGTTGCATTTCTGGTGCGAGGTTTGCCTTCGCAAAGCGGAGCGTTACCTCCACAATCACCAGCTAAACATTGCAATGTACTGATACATCGCAATGTCTGACATAAGGATGGAGGCAGGTAGAGGCATGGGCTGGCTTCACAGTTTCCCCCGCATTGTTATTTTTGCACATACACAAATCTTGATTCTCCAGGTCGACAATTATGAAACCAATATCACAATATGGACTTCAACCCAGCTTGGGACAATATATCGCCCAGCCCTAAGATACACCATGATTTTTGATATATTGCCAAGTCAAAGATCATGAAACTGATTGCACGACATGGACTTCAGTTTTGGATGATCTATCGATATTTCACCCAGCCCTAATAGCTGTCCTGGCTAGTAGCCACCCTCCTCCATAGAGGAGACCCATAGAGTGATGGCCAAGTTGGTGGCTACCAAGGACAGCTGGACATATAAAAGGCTCCATTACCTTCAGGAGCTTAGGGCCTCATCAAATTCTAAATCCGACCCTGACCCCACCCACAAGGTGATGACCACATTTCTCGGACCCCAGTTGCCACAAGGAGAATTCAGGGGGAAACGCCCTACCGTATATCAGAAAAGCATACTCCATCTTAATGCTCTGGCATGCCCGGTCGCTGAAGACAGACGCCATCCCAAGGATGTCCTCAAAGGTGAAGTAGCCGTCGGTGGAGAAGACCTTGCAGATCCGGTCCCGGAAGGGATTCACCTGTGTGGACGGATGAAGAGGGATTGGCCCAAACTGAAACTAGCATCCCAGGGGCAAGGGAGCAGCTAATGAAGGAGGCAGTGGTCCTTCTTGAGAGGTTCAGACCTCTACTATGTGGAAATGGCAAAACTGACTGTTAAATGAAGAGGACATTGTGATGAATTGTTTAAGGAAGAATGGTGACCGTTGATGGACTAGGTAAAAGGTAAAGGTAAAGGACCCCTGGATGGCTAAGTCCAGTCAAAGGCGACGATGGGGTTGCGGCACTCATCTCGCTTTCAGGCCAAGGGAGCCAGCGTTTGTCCACAGACAGCTTTCCAGGTCATATGGCCAGCAGGACTAAACCGCTTCTGGCACAACGGGACACCGTAACGGAAACCAGAGTGCACGGAAATGCCGTTTACCTTCCCGCCAGACTGGTACCTATTGATCTATTCACACTGGTGTGCTTTCGAACTGCTAGGTCAGCAGGAGCTGGGACAGAGCAACGGGAGCTCACGCTGTTGCACGGATTCGAACCGCGGACCTTCTGATTGGCAAGCCCAGGAGGCTCAGTAGTTTAGACCACAAAGTTGAAAGGTAAAGTTAAAGGATGCCTGGATGGTTAGGTCCAGTCAAAGGCGACTATGGGGTTGTTGCACTCATCTCGCTTCAGACTGAAGGAGCCAGCATTTGTCCACAGACAGCTTTCTGGGTTATGTGGCCAGCAGGACTAAACCACTTCAGGTGCAACGGGACACTGTGACGGAAACCAGAGCGCACGGAAATGCCGTTTACCTTCCCGCCAGAGCGTTACCTATTTATCTACTTGCACTGGTGTGCTTTTAACTGCTAGGTTGGCAGGAGCTGGGACCGAGCAACAGGAGCTCACCACCATCATAGGGATTCGAACCCCTGACCTTCAGATCAGCGAGCCCAAGAGGCTCAGTGGTTTAGACCACAGCACCACCCACATCCCACTACCTATTATTCATACATGAAGTCACAGGCAGGATTTGAAATATAAGCAACGGGTTATTGAAAGAATTGACGATATCGGGGCTTAGATAATAAATACATATGTGTTCTAAAAGAGAGTCACATGCTCTATCAAGTGAGCTAAAGCAAGCGGATTATCAATCAATAATGGTTTTAAATGTGGAATTTGTATTTCTCATGCGGAGTTTTGTTTTGTTGGGATTTGCAAGCTGCTAGCAGATCCCTGTTGAAATCTGAAGCAGCGTCTTTATTAATTAGTTAATTGATTAACTGAACGAAGGCCTCTGACTTCCCCTCCCCCATCCCAAGCAGTACCCCTCTTCTGCCACCGGGAGGCAGTAGGGAGCTTCTTCTCCCTGCTCCCTTTTGTCCAAAGAAGATTAAATTTCCACTCTGGGTAATATGATAATCTCCAAATGCAGACTTATCGCTCGCAGTCTATGAAATGCCCTTTTGAAACCAGCACTCGATTGATGCATTTAAGATCGGAAAGGCGAATAAATGGCTCTTGGATAATTCCTTTAAGCCGCAGAAGAGTCCGACGATAACCCTTGCCTGGTGCTGGGAGCAAAGTGAGGGGGTCTGCAACCCACCTCAGCCCCACCAACTTCCACCACCGCTGCCCCCTCCTTCGGCTGCCCCAGATGCCTGCTATAGGGCAAGAGCATGTCTGTGGGTGCTCCCCCCAGAGGTGTGTCCTTTCACACTGACATTTGGGACTGAAACTCCCAGATTTCATAATGGAACCTGTGGACCTCATAGACCCTAGTATCCTCTTCACATGTACCTGGCTTGACAGCAGCACATGTGAAAAGGATCCAGGGGTTTTAGGTCCAGATCCGAGGGCCTTCTGGCGGTTCCCTCCCTGCAAGAAGTCAAGTTACAGGGAACCAGGCAGAGGGCCTTCTCAGTGGTGGTGCCCACCTTGTGGAACGCCCTCCCACCAGATGTCAAGGAAATAAAGAACTATATGACATTTAGAAGACATCTGAAGGCAGCCCTGTTTAGGGAAGCTTTTAATGTTTAATAGACTATTGTATTTTAATATTCTGTTGGAAGCCACCCAGAGTGGCTGGGGAAACCCAGCCAGATGGGAGGGGTATAAATAATAAATTATTATTTATTGTTATTGTTATTGTTATTATTTGCCAGAGGCATATCAAGGTCAGGTGGTACCCTGTGTGGAAAACTGCAAATTTTGAGAACGTTGGCCAGAGTTGTTGAGCTTTTTTTTAGGGAGGGTTCGCTGCGAAACAGATACGCCCTACGCCCACCGATCGCAAAAATCCGCCGGGGTGCCAGGATGATTGCCGGGAATATTTGCGCAATCAGTGGGTGGATTTTCACCACGACGATTGTGCCAATCATGGAAATCCACCTGCTGGAGGTGCGAGCATCGCCACACCGATCCGCCTGGGGGGGGATTTTCACCCCCCCATGCATGACACCTGGGGCAGACCGCACCCCCTTGAGATGCACCACAAGCTTAACATGAGCCCACAGTGTGATGCATTAGCAAAAGAAGAAGAAGCAAATACTATTCTAGGCTGCAGCAACAGAAGTCCAGGGTCCAGATTTAAGGAAGTCATAAAGGTAAAGGTAAAGGGACCCCTGACCATTAGGTCCAGTCATGCCCGACTGGGGTTGCAGTGCTCATCTCATTTTATTAGCCGAGGGAGCCGGCGTGCAGCTTCCGAGTCATGTGGCCAGCATAGACTCATAGACTCATAGAGTTGGAAGAGACCACAAGGGCCATCGAGTCCAACCCCCTGCCAAGCAGGAAACACCATCAGAGCACTCCTGACATATGGTTGTCAAGCCTCTGCTTAAAGACCTCCAAAGAAGGAGACTCCACCACACTCCTTGGCAGCAAATTCCACTGTCGAACAGCTCTTACTGTCAGGAAGTTCTTCCTAATGTTTAGGTGGAATCTTCTTTCTTGTAGTTTGGATCCATTGCTCCGTGTCCGCTTCTCTGGAGCAGCAGAAAACAACCTTTCTCCCTCCTCTATATGACATCCTTTTTTATATATATTTGAACATGGCTATCATATCACCCCTTAACCTCCTCTTCTCCAGGCTAAACATGCCCAGCTCCCTTAGCCGTTCCTCATAAGGCATCGTTTCCAGGCCTTTGACCATTTTGGTTGCCCTCCTCTGGACACATTCCAGTTTGTCAGTGTCCTTCTTGAACTGTGGGTCACATAACTGGACACAGTACTCCAGGTGAGGTCTGACCAGAGCAGAATACAGTGGCACTATTACTTCCCTTGATCTAGATGCTATACTCCTATTGATGCAGCCCAGAATTGCATTGGCTTTTTTAGCTGCCGCGTCACACTGTTGGCGCATGTCAAGTTTGTGGTCAACCAAGACTCCTAGATCCTTTTCACATGTAGTGCTCTCAAGCCAGGTGTCACCCATCTTGTATTTGTGCATGACTAAGCCGCTTCTGGAGAACCAGAGCAGTGCACGGAAACACCGTTTACCTTCCTGCTGGAGCGGTACCTATTTATCTACTTGCACTTTGATGTGCATTCGAACTGCTAGGTTGGCAGGAGCTGGGACAGAGCAACGGGAGCTCACCCCATCGTGGGGATTCGAACCACCGACCTTCTGATCGGCAAGCCCTAGGCTCTGTGGATTAACCCACAGCGCCACCCACGTCCCAAATGAAGATAATAGACCTGCTCTGTTCTGCCTTGGTGAGTCCACATCTGAAATACTGAAATACCAGTTCTGGGCACCACAATTTAAGAAGGATGTTGACAAGCTGGAAGGTGTGCAGAGGAAGGCGACTGAGAGGCTCAAGGGTCTGGAAATCAAGCCTCTCTAAAATAGATCCCATCTCGTAGCCCAGAACAGTCAGGAGCAGCAAAAGAGAGAAGGAGAGAGAGAGAGAAAATATCTCCATTGTTCCTCCTGAAAGGAAAATAAGTGCTTTCAAAGTGTCCTGGATAGTGTGTTGTGCATGCATTACTTTCGCTGGAAAGGATGGCTGTGCCGTAAAAAAAAAAAAGAGGCATTTATTTTTGGTAGGAAGCAAAGCGTCAGAGGCTCAGAAGAGAATGGAAAGCCACTCAGCCCAACCCACCAATTTAGCCAAGGTGCATCATCAGGTGCTGAGCATAAGCGCAGAAGAAGAGGCTGCGGGATGAAGCCAGCATCCTGTTCTCACAGGTGACAGCTGTCTTCCTGTGGGGAAACTGAGAAGCAAGATTTGAGCACCAGAGCAACTCTCCCCTCCTGTGGTTTCCACAGCTGGGATTCAGACGCACTCCTGCCTCTTGACCGCAGAGGCAGAACAGAGCCCTCCCGGCTAGGAGCCATCGAGAGTCCTCTTGTCCTCCTCCAAGAACTCATCTTTTCTTTTCTTTTTGCCTTTGTTGCTTCTTCTTCTTCTTCTTTTTAAAAAAATATGATGAATTTCAACATAACAATTTATCAAAAATACACCATCCTGATTCCCCCCCCATTTTCCCCCTCCCCCCTAAAAAAGAAAAAAAGGAAAACCCACCCTCTCACCCCCAGACTTCCCTCAGCTCCTTTCTCTGACTTCTCAGCACATGTTATTTTCTGCATGTTTAAAATTGTAAATATCCTCAGTTTTTCTTTCTATATACAGTGGTACCTCGGGTTACAGACTCCGCTAACCCAGAAATAGTGCTTCAGGTTAAGAACTTTGCTTCAGGATGAGAACAGAAATCGTGCTCCGGCGGCGCGGCGGCAGCTAAAGTGGTGCTTCAGGTTAAGAACAGTTTCAGGTTAAGAATGGACCTCCAGAACGAATTAAGTACTTAACCCGAGGTACCACTGTATTACCAATAAAAAGTTTGTGAATGCTTCTTCAAAACCTGCCAAGGAGTCCAGTTCGTTTTGTTGTTTCTTTAAGTACTTCGTAACAGGTTCCAATTCTTCTTTTAAGTCACAGTTGTCCTTGTCTCCTAGTTTATGTGTCAATTTCGCCAGTTCCGCATAATCCATCAGTTTCTCTTGCCACAGTTCTTTCGTCGGGATTTCCTCACTCTTCCATCCTTGTGCTAGTAAGACACTTTCCGTCATTGTCGCATACATGAAAATATTCTTCAATTTGCTTGGCAGGTCTTTTCCTACAATCCCTAACAGAAAAGCTTCTGGCTTTTTTACAAATGTTAATTGGGACCTCCAAGAATTCATCTCATCCACTTTTAAAGCCATCCAAGTCTATGGCCATCCCTGTGGCAGCGAGTTCCATAGTTAATGATGCAATTAATTTCAATTTATTTCAATTTATTTCAATAGCAGGGGAATGTCCAAAACTCTGCAGGAAATAACATGATTTATGCTATTTACCCCTTATATGCCCACCTGATCGTTTCAGTCTGCGGAACGGGCACTGTTACAGGTGCCACATAATAGCGGGTTCGCATTTGTAAGAAATTGGTCATTTGATGTGGCGGATCCTGCCCTTTGGAACTCCCTGCCTCTTGATATCAGGCAGGCAACTTCCCTGAGCTCTTGTTGCTGTCTGCTGAAAACATTTTTGTTCCTATAGGCCTGCCTAGGTATCTGGAATACTGCTTTGTGTTTTAATTTTTTACAATATGATACAATACGATAATCTTTATTGTCATTGTCCCATACAGAACAACGAAATTGAAAAAATCTATATCAGACATTAAAAAACCAACAAGCCTGCTATCCCAGCCTGGTTAACCCCCTAAAAACTCTGGTACCCCATAATAACATACAATATACTCCCATAAAGGTAAAGGTAAAGGGACCCCTGACCATTAGGTCCAGTCGCGGACAACTCTGGGGTTGTGGCGCTCATCTCACTTCATTGGCCAAGGGAGCTGGCATACAGCTTCCAGGTCATCTGGCCAGCAGGACTAAGCCGCTTCTGGTGAACCAGAGCAGCGCACGGAAACGCCGTTTACCTTCCCGCCAGAGCGGTACCTGTTTATCTACTTGCACTTTGACGTGCTTTTGAACTGCTAGGTTGGCAGGAGCAGGGACCGAGCAACGGGAGCTCACCCCGTCGCGGGGATTCGAACCGCCGACCTTCTGATTGGCAAGTCCTAGGCTCTGTGGTTTAACCCACAGCGGCACCCACGTCCCTTAGAGACTACCTTACACTGCGTTTAAAACCAAAATCCCATTTGGGTAGAAACTGTTTCTGAGGCAGCTAGTCCTTGTCTTTATAATCCTGTACCTTCTTCCAGAAGGCAGAAGCTGAAAGAGATAATTTCCAGGGTGCATACTATCCTGTGCTATCTCTGCAGCTTTCTTATGACACCTGGAAACATAGATTTGATCCAGGGTGGGAAGAGTGCGCTCAATTATTCACAGTTTCTAGTTTAGCACTGATTTTCACTGTTTTGTCTAATCCTGCATTAAAGCCTTTGCTGCCATCTCTGCTTCGTGAGGGAGCAAGTTCCACCACTTAACTCTGTGCTGTGGACTTCCTTCCTTCTGCCCTAAATCATTCCAACAGTTCCAGTGCTATGAGAGAGGGAGAAAAAGCCCTTCTCTATCCACTTTCTCCAAGCCACAGAGAGTTTTGCAAACTTCTGTCATGCTTCCTCTTTGAAATGCCTCTTTCTCTCAAGCACACCACAAGAACTGGCATGGCTCTCGCCAGCCTTTGCCAGTCTGGGCCCCCTCCAGATATTTGAGGCAACTCTGTA